ATTAGAAAGAAAAAAGTCAGAAACAAAAGTAGATAGTTCTCCTATTTCTTCTGATTCTTTTGATTCTTCTCTTTGTACTTTATCTGAGTCTAAATCTGTACAATCCAACCTACTACTTCTGTGTTCTAAGATCTTAGAACATTCAGAACACTACCCAGCCCTGTTTACTACTCAGTAGTTTGTCTATAGTATCAAATAAGGATAGCCTTAGCTGAGTTCACAGCTGAGGACATAAGTCTGTCCTTGTTAAAAGAAAGAGGTTAATAAGGAAATGTTAGTGTATATACTTACTCTCTTAGACAACAAGGTTGTACAAGCTGTACATTCCCTTTAGAACAAGTAGTAGTTCATCTGAGAATGTTTCAGACACTAGCTCCAGGTCCCTGTCCTCTTAGCTCCCTTCTCAGGATCCCCCCAGATTCAAACAACAGCTCTAGTAGATAGTGAATGTACTAGTTTATGTATTAATAAGGCCTTTGTGTAGGAACACCACCTCCCTACTTAACACATTCTACTTCTGATCCTAGTATACAATACAGACAGAACCCTGAACTAGAATGGTTGGATTACTGAGTTTGTCTAACTACAGATAACTATTTAGGATTATAAGGAAAGTATTAAGTTTAGAGTCACTAACCTTAGAAAGACAGACATATTCATTAGATTCAAATGGCTCAAAGCTTACAACCCTACTATTAACTAGTTAGAGTAAACACTTGTATTTAATTAGTGTTCTAAGTCTTACAGTTACCTTACACTACTGTTTCAAGTAGATATAGACACTTCTAATGTTACTAACAGTTCTGATAAAGGTAACTAGTTGTTCTTCTTTAATTAGGATAAATATGTGGATACATATTCTAGTTAAGGTAGAATAGAGTTAATCTGAAGGATGTCTAAGACAGTACTAGTTCAGAACCCTCTTAGAATAACTCTACTCTAGAACACACATAGACCCAGCCTGCCAGATTTTGTCTGAGAGTTCCCTAAAGTCTTTAGTAAAGAGGAATTTGACTAGCTTCCTAAACACTGTCTCTAGAACTATACAATTGAATTGACTAAGGGTTTCTAACCTAAGGATTATAAGGTCTACCTACTCAACAGAGACAAGTAGGAGGTACTTGACAAGTTCCTTCAGGAAAATCTTCAGAACAGCTAGATCTGACCCTTAAAGTCCTTTATAGCCTCCCTTTTCTTCTTCATCAAAAAGAAAGATAGGAAGCTCTACTCAGTCCAGAATTATTGTTATCTTAATAAGAGTACTGTTAAAAACAAGTACCTACTCCCTCTGATTCAGGAGCTTATTAATAAGACACATACATTTAGGGTTTTCACTAAGTTAGACATTTGATGAGAGTACAATAATATTTGGATCTAAGACAGAGATAAGTAGAAGGCTGTATTCTGAACCAATTACAGATTGTACAAACCAACTATAATGTTCTTTAGACTAACCAACTTGCCTGTAACATTCTAGTCATTCATGAATCACATCCTTGTAGATCTGATTAACTCAGAGTATGTTAGTGTGTATCTGAACAACATTCTGATCTTCACCCAGACAGTTGAGTACTATTACTAACTAATCTAAGTAGTTTTACAATAGCTCTGAGATAATAAACTATTCCTCTAAGAAGTAAAGTA